CCCCCCCCCAGCTTCTCGCCCGGTTCTCCTCTCGTCGGGAGTCACCGTGATGTCCTTTGTCCCCTGCCTGGCACCGTCCTCCTGCGACCCTCTCTCCGCTAGGAAACCACCCGGCACGCTGCTCGCGCAGCCCATGGGGCCTCCTCTCCTCCCGGGCCTCGCAAACGGCAGCGTCTTTGACCCGGGAACCTCAGAACCCGGCGACGTCACTGCGGACATTCGATCGGGAGTGACAGACGGGTCACCGCAGGGGCCAGACCGGCCCCCGAAGGCGGGTTTGGTTCGGTGCGGACGGGCCTAGTTTTTAATCGGGGAGGTTTTGCAGAAAAATTAAATGAGATGCAACGAGGCCTCAGGCCCATGTTCCTGTACAGCGAGAATCGGCAGGACGCGTGCGGTGGCCGTCCAGGTCGCCACGGTCCCCAACGTCCCCGGCCGCCTGCACCTGGCGTGGGCTTCCTGGAGATTCCTGCGCAGTTAAAGGGCTTCCAGGAGGTCAGCAGGGAGGCGGGTGGGAGGTTGGAAGGCGGTGGGTGGGATGTGACCGGGGGGTCGTTAATAAAAAGCTCAAAAGGCGCAGACAGGGACGGCGGCCCCCACGCTGGGCCCCTCTGCGCTCCACGCGGCTCTGACCCTGCCTCGGGCCAGAGGGGAGTCGGCGACCCCTAAAGAAGGACACAGACGGCGACCTCCACCCCTCCGCCTGGACCGGGAGGCCCAGAGCTACGAAGGGGACGGGCGAGCGCTTGCTTACAGCCTTGTTACTAGAGCGCTGTGGTCCACTAGGACCCCCGGAGCGCACGCACCTCACTATTGCCGTCCGGAGAGGGCAGGGAGCTGGTTGCATCCGGCGAGCGCCGAGGCAGCTGGGATCCCTGCTCCCCAGGGCAGCCAAGATGTCACCCTACGTTTAGATTTGACCCAAGACAGCACGACCAGCATCACGATGCTCCAAACCGTCCCCGTGTCTTTCCCGCCTCGGACAATAAACCGTAAGTCCTGGAGCTACGCAGAGGACGGCGCCGCGTGTGAAATTCTTCGACCTTGCTGTGTGTTTGCCGATTTCCGTGATACGGTGTTGGGGGGACAAAGGGCGTGGTGGCGCGTGCCTGCTGTCCTGGCTGTCTGGGAGGCTGAGCGGGGTGGGAGATCACTTGAGCGCAAGAGTTTGAGGCCAGCCGGGACAACATAGCAAGACCCCACCTCTTAAAAAATAAAAATGAAAAAACAACCACAGAGTGGGTCGTGGCATATTGATAGTAACACAGCCCTTGGCCCCTCCGGTGGCACCGGGCACACAGTAGGGGCCCTGACCTGCGTCCCGGACACCTCCCCACTCAGCACGCTCCTGCCAAACGGCTGGCCCGCAAACCCGCCCTGAGGTCACTGTCGCTCCGGGGCCTCTGTGCTACCTTCCCCGCGCTCTCTGTGGAATGCTCTCCCCTCAGGAACGTGCATGGCTCCCTCCTTCCCTGTGCTCGGGCCTCTACCCAGCTGCCGCGGCCGCAGAGGCCTTTCCTGATGGTTCTCCGCGGCGCGGCCGTCACCTTCGAACCCGCTCCGCCTGCCTACACGACACCCGCTGCCACCCGACAGCCTGTCCCCGCCCGTGTCCCCGCAAGCACCAAGCTGTGCACAAGCCCCAACTCGCGCTGGCGGCCTGCGCTGGGCAAGCCCTGGAAACCCCCACGGGGCCCCAGGGTGACACATCAGGGGCCTCGGTGGCCTGTCCCCGTGCTCTCCCTCCAACCCCACCCCCCTGTCACCGTGAGATCGATCTCGCCACCCGCTTCCCGGAGGAGCTGAGAGCCTCGCCCAAGGTCCCCCCCGCCGGATGGCGGATGGCAGGACTCTGACCTTGACCCCGCGCCCAGACTGTCCCCCGGACCCGCCGCACTCACCGGGGACGAGGACTTTGAACTTGCCGCTCTGGCCGAAGGCGCTGTCGATGACGCCCAGCTCGCCGGTGGACAGTCGCACTCGGAGCCCCACGAACAGCTGGATGTTGGTCTCCTTCTTGAACAGCGAGCGGCCGATCACGCTGTGGTCGTCCATCGCCTGGCCCCGCGCACGCGGCACGGAGAGAGCAGCCGTCGGTGGGGGGGGCCGGTGGCCCAGGCGACAACCCCCCTCCCCACGAGCCCGTCTCGCGAGCAACGGAACGCCCAGGGGACGGGGCCCAAAGCCTGGGACCAGCCACCACCCGGGAAAAGACGAAGGGCTCGTGTGTCCTGCGGGGGACGGTGGCCGCCCCGCTGTCCCCTTGTGGGTGGCCGGGCTCAGAGGAGGGACACACACACGTGTGCCTGGAAGCGTCACCCCCTGTCCTCTGAGCCTCTGGCAGCTCTGGGGAGGGCGGCATGGCCAGGTGGCCGCCCCTGCCCCGCCTGGCTCCTCTGTCCCCCCCGTCCCCTCTCTGTAGACCCCGCGTCCGACAGCAAACCCGGTCCCCGCGGTGAGACGCGCCCTGCGATCTGGCCACCGCTGCGCAGATTGCAAACGCTCGTGCCTTTGACCCGGCCACTGCACGTCCAGGAACGTGTCCCCCAGATGCGCCAGCGTGACCGGCTAATTTTTCTATATGTTTCTAGTTGTCCAGCTAATTTCTTTCTATTTTTTAGTAGAGATGGGGTCTCGCTACGTTGCCCAGGCTGGTCTCAAACTCCTGACCTCGAGTGATCCTCCTGCCTCAGCCCCCCGGGTAGCTGGGACTACAGGCATGGGCCACTGTGCCCGGCTAATGTTTCTATATGTTTCTAGTTGTCCAGCTAATTTCTTTCTATTTATAGTTGAGATGGGGTCTCGCTATGTTGCCCAGGCTGGTCTCGAACTCCTGACCTCGAGCGATCCTCCCACCTTGGCGTCCCAGAGTAGCTGGGACTACAGGCATGCACCACCATGCCCGGATCATTTTTTCTCTATATATTTTTAGTTGTCCAGCTCATTTCTTTCTATTTTTCAGTAGAGACGGGGTCTCGCTATGTTGCCCAGGCTGGTCTCGAACTCCTGACCTCCAGCGATCCTCCGGCCTCAGCCTCCCAGAGTTGCTGGGACTACAGGCGTGGGGCATTCTGCCCGGCCCCAGAACACTGTTTCCAGCATCTTCCCCCCTGCCCCCGCCTTGCTTTCGGTTATAAAACATTAACTTAGAAAAGCCAAATGCCGCAGAGACAGCAGAAGGATCCATCCCTCCCCACGCCAGCGTCTTGTGACGAGGACAGACTAATTTTATTAACTTCGGGGGAACTTCAAAAAGCTTCGGGGCTTTCATGGCAGACAGAGGCGACCCCGAAGTCAGCTTAAGTGCTACATAAACAAAGGACAAGCGCCGGGGGAGGCCGAGGGCTCCCGGAGTTTCTTTTCTTCTGCTTTTTTTCTTTTGCACGAGCAGTTTCGAAAAACCCCAGTGTGTCTTGTTTGAGTTCTCGTCGGACCCGGGGGACAGCGCGCGGGGCCTGGCGGGTCCCTGTCATCCAGCTGCCGTGTGGCGCTCTGGGCTCCCCGGCCTCCACGGCCGCAGTATCCGTTCAAGCGTGCGGGGT